ATTTAAATAAAAATATAATAAATAAATAAAAATTTTAAATTAAATAATACCTAACACACATACTGACAATAATTTCAATTATTTTTACATCAATTAACAATATACATTTAATAGATTTCATAGTTTCACATGTTTAATTATTTCATATAATATGTATACAAAAAAATTTCAAAACTTCTAACCTCAATCATTTGCTCACATGCATTAATTAATGCAATCTGAGATGCAGGATTATCTATGTCACTCATTGTAAGTTTCACACCTTGAACAACTGCAGGAATACAATCAGCCACCTCCTACAATAGATAAGAAATTATTATATTGTATATATAAACTGGTCATATATATTAAGGTTAAATAAAAAAACAAATATAAATATTTGGTAAAAAAGTTTCAAATGCTTTTGTCTTTTTATATTAGACTTTTTTCAGATATAAATTTAAAAAAAAGCATAAAAAACAAAAACAAAAAGAGATCTATTAAATTAAATTTTAGAAAATTGTTTTTTTTTTTTTTTTAATTTCAACTAACATGTTTTCTTCAAGTTCCTATAAAATATAATTATTACATTCTTATTATTTTTGTATCGTTCTCCTCTTTTTCATTGTTTTAATAATAATGGACTGTTTGGTTTATAGTGTTATATCTTATTATATAATTTTTCATTCATTCTGGTTCTTTCTATTGAATATTCATTATAATGTCTTATCTTCTGTAAAATGAATAATATAAGGACTTGAATATTTAAAAAGACATTTATGATCATAGTGACATTAAATTTTCACAGACTATACATAAACCATACTTTAACAATTATTAGAACTTAAGTATATCATTTTTAATTTCAGTTTAGTTAACACTAATTTTTCCATGTTTATTCTTTAACAGATATCCGAAAGAAAATTTTATCTTTAAACAAAATAGATGAAATTTTTATTTTACCAAAAAAATATCTTGAACTTGAGGTTTGAAAATAATGTTTATGATAAAGTAGAAACTAATAACTGCTATATTTTAATCTTTTATAGTAATATAATTTTTGCAATTATTAAACCAAAATAATATTTTATGAAGTGAATATAATTTTGATAAGTTCCTATGAGAAAAGCACATATAAAAAAAGCCCCCCACAAAAATTGCATACAGAAAAGCTTCCACTATCATATATGTGCACAATAAAAAGTACATACAGAAAATTACTCTCACAAAACAATGTGCACATATAGTAATTTTTATGAAAGGTAAGGATGCATGCACAATTTCAGGTTCCACAAATATTTATAATTGTAGAAAACCTTTTATCTCCCATTTATGAGAATGAATAGATATTAACTACCTTTTAAATTGTTAATAATAACTTATGATTAAAATATTTCATTTTCATATGCAACAATTTGTATTTTGTGATTTTTCTGAGTATAATTAAACAATAATTTTGCTATATTGTAAATACATTCATTACTACATATAAGTGGTCTGTGTATGAAGAGGTCTTTAATGCTGAAGTGTGAACGTTTGTAAGAGAAAATATAAAAAATAAAAGTGAACAGTTTTTTATCAACAAAATTATTCAAAAGAAAAAACAATAATAATATAAAAAAATAAATGTTCTCAAAAAAATAATTATTAAATCTGAGACCCTTTGAATTCCCCCATCCCATTAATTCCAGGATGCCATGATTCTATAAAATCATGATAGAAAAACCAACCAGGTCTTTTATAATTACAAGAGTTAAAAAATTTATTATTAGCTATGACTTTTCTAGAGGGCATTTTATATTTAAAACAGAAACAGTATCACTTTCTAAAATTACATAATTTTCTTTTAAAAATAAAAAGTAAAGGAGATTGAATTCAGCATTGATATTTCATTACTAAATTAAATTTATAAAATATATTCTTACTTTGCAACTTTCCATTAACTCTTCTTGATTAGTTGAATTAGTGTTGTGTTGACCAGCACCTTGAGCAGCAGCAATATTTTGGGTAGCCATTGCAGCAGCATGTTTTGCAGCATTCTAATACATAAAATAAAATGTATTAATAAATATAATTAATTATTTGAAAATTACTACAGGAAATTCTCATTAATTCAAACTCAGATAGTTCAAAATACATTAGTTTGTAACTGAATGCATGTCCCAGCCAGGAATATAGAGATTTACATGTTAAGGAATTTGATATGACTACTTTGTAATTCAAAGTAAAAATTCTGTCTGAACTGTGATATGCATAACTCATTCATAGATTGAAGTGTCTCCATACTATAAGAGAATAATAGACCAAGAACAACTTTGGTCAATATGACTTTGCTTTTACAATAACACATTTTTGGTGTCATCTTACTCATGGACTACCCTTTTTTCTCTTATCTATAAAATACAGCTGGTTTTTAAGACTGGGCTATAAGTAGCATATTGAGATATTTGTAGGGCTCTACGCTACTAGATTTGAGCAACTTACTACTTTTTGGGTCATGTGGCTCAAATTATTTTTTAAATTTTGAGGAATCCACTGTACTTTTTTTTTTTTATAAAACTTAACTGCAGAGCTGCGAGGTTCTCACCAGACCCGTGTTGTTTACCTTCACATTTATATTATTATTATTAATTAATGAAAATAGCGCTCTTTGTACATATCTGTATTCCTTTTGCTTAATAAATTACATCAGTTACATGGCATTTGGCATAGTGTACACATATATACAAATCTAGGATAATTCAAAATGTGATAATTTGAAGTTGCAATTATTTTGTCCCTTAAATTTCAAACTAACACGTATTTCCTGTATATGTTAAACAAATTATTTATTTTTAATTACTAATTTGCTTCAATAATTACTTTCACAATTATAGATATTAATATAAAATCACATTTCAAGCATAAAATTAATAAAATATATCATTTTTATAAAATGATTTTAAGATAGATTTATCTATGGAATTGATTTCCTTAAGATTCACTTAATAGACATTTCAGAATTATATCAATCAGTAAAATTTATCAGTAAATTAGAAAGTATTTCTCAAAATTATTTTTTATACTGATTTTGAAACAAACATCAGAAATTAGAGAAATGAACATTTAATTTGATTAAAAAATTGTCATTACTTTTAATTTTATTAAACATTATAAAACTTGAACTGATTTCACAGTTTTAACACATCTATCTTAATTTAAAAGAAAATTTTGATTCCATCAAGTTCTATACTTGAATAATTTCTATATTTAAGGCTTATACAAAAATTAAAATTATTTTGTTGTATTATTTAGTATAATATAATTTAAATTTTAATTAAATCATATAAAACAATCATAACTGCACCAATAAAAATAAATTCTACAGTTATATATTATAATTTTAAATATTAAACCACACTAATTATCATATTCAACAGTTATACATTTATTAGGTAAGTATTACAAATAATTTTCCATTTATTCAGTTATGTTGTCCATTGTTTGTTATCCAAGAGGAAAGAGTCACCAGGTTATCAGATAAATTTTAAAATACCGATAATGACAAGAATCATGTTCAGTATTTTATATCTTCATATTAAAAACAATTAAGTAATATTTTCAATAACAATTTGCTTAACAATTTATTTCCTGATATAAAAAAATTCACTAATATAAATTAATAAATCATAATGTCGATTAATATACATTAGCAAGCATTGGAATGTCTTCAAATTTTATATCATTAGACTTAACTTGAATTTTTATAAAAATTCTAACTTGCAAGTTTCATAACAAAAAAGTTCTTGAAAAGTAATTTTGAATTTACTTTATTCTATTGTATCTATTATTATTTTCATAAATCAAGAAAATTTCTAATATGGGTTCTGTATTTTTATCAATACTTTTGTATAAGCTTCATTTAATGTTCATTAATGACTTTTTCAAATAATGAATTTACCTCTAATTGTCTTATAGATTTACGTTTCAATGCACCAGCAGCAGCAGCAGCATTTGTTGCAGTACGAAGTTCTTCAGCAGCTCTGCACAATGCAGCTAAAGATTCACTATCATTTGGATTATTTGCACAACCCTATAATAAGTATTTTATTCATTATATAAGATGATATTTTTATGTTAAAATTTAATTTTAATTAAACTATATTTTATTTAATATTTTTGAAATTTGTATTTTATTTTATAAATTTTGAAAACAAGTAATGTTTGTATTCAAATTCTGATGCATTTATGTAATATTGATATCTTAGTCCATAATACTTATTTTATATTTAAATAAACATTTTAAAAATATATACTCAAACAACATATATTCAAATAAATATGTATATATTAAAATATATGTTGTCTCCATTAGAAGCCACTCCCTATCTTTTTTATTTCTTTATTTAAAACTGTCCTAATCAAAGCTATATCCCATTATGGTATAGTATTTTCATTATTGAAAGATAAGAATTTAAAATAATTTGTGCATTTTTTTTTAAATACCAGTAACCACCTTTTTCTTAATCACTTCTACAATTCTTTGTACTAGCTTAAATGCATTGTAGAACTATTTATAACCACAAAAATATAGTGAGGACTAAATTTACAGTAATTTTTTCATAAAAAAGAAAAGAGAATCACAATTTAATGTCTTCATATAGAGAGTTATCTTAAAACTGAAAAAAATAATACAGGGTGTTTCAAAAAGATTCATCTGATTTAAAAAAATCATAACTATTCAGATTTTAATCCATTTTTATCGAACAATGTACAGTTAGAAAGAGGAAATTCTTGAGTTTTATGCAGTTGCCAACTGGCAGCACCTGCACGCTTCATTCATCTGTCACTTCTGTATTTTCAAGATGACGACTAGACAACAGAAATCATTTTGTGTTCTATGCTTTGGGAAGTGTGGGTCCATAATAACTGTTCAGTATGATTTTTGTCGACAACATGGTGTTGAACCACCTACTGCCCAGAGCATTAGATGATGGTATGAACAATTCCAAGACATGAATTGTCTGTGTAAATGGAAAACCACTGGTCGCCCCTGTGTGTCAGACAAAGATGTGGAGTGCACACAGCTGAGTTTCACACATAGCCCACAAAAATCCACTCACTGTGCCAGTAGAAAAATTAACATTTCCACAACATCTATATGGCATTTGATTATGAAACTGTACAGGATTCAATTAATGCAAGCACTTCAAACAAGTGACAAACACAGTGATCACTGAGATTTTTTTTTGTGGGGGTTTATAAAAGACTCCTGTGAGTGATCCTCTATCACCACAGGTCCTTTTCTACCAGAAAAACTTTCATACTAGGAGGATTTGAAACATTCCTTTTATTCACCAAGCCAATAATGAACCTCACCTTAATCCTTCAACCCTCCATTGCTGTTCCGTCTCTTGCGTTCCAAATTTTTTTTCTTTTTCTTTTTTTCTTTTGAATTTTTAAACTTTTCTTTTAACATTCTTTTTTAAATTTTTTAAACTTCCCTACTTTAGAATAACAAACAAATTAACATGTAAATAAGCGATTGGGTTCAATATCAGTATAACTCCATTTATGTGCCTCCTCTTCCAACTACAGAGGTCAAACTGCAAAACTGCATAATAACAGCAGTGGCAGCAGTGGATCAAGACATGCTCACAAAAGTTTGGGATGAATTTCACTACCATTTGGACATATGCCATGCATCCCAAGGGGGCATATTGAGCACCTATGATTTAGTATGTAAAAACACTAGAAGATTAGCCCTGTAATATAAAATTAATCTTAAGTGTGTATCTTCATTACTTTTCATAATATAATCATTTTAAATCAGATGATTCTTTTAGAAACACTCTGTATATAGTAAATACTGATCTTAACAGAAGCCCATGTTCTGAAAAATGTTTAAAATTTTAACTATTTAATATTATGTTACTTAAATTTTAATTATCATTAATGTGTACGTAACATTTTAAAGAAGTTAAAATTTATTTTTCATTGTTACTGTGATAAAAATATTCAATATGAACCTAAAAAATGTAAATAAATTTTAAAAAGTAATCATTTGTTGCCATCAATGGTGTAAACATATAAATAATAATGTTTTAAATTTGTAATGATTTCCAATCAATTCTTAACATTTCTATTAAAAAAATACATTTTATAATGTTTATTGATGGGTTTTAATTAGTATAAATATATGACAGTTATTAATAATTAATGCTTACAAAATCATTATAATTATTTATTTTCAATACCTTGGCAGCTTCTACCATATGTGCAGTGGCATCAGCTAACATCTTAGCTGCGGCCAATAAACGTTTTTGTACATCTGAATCAGGTTGAATTTCAGCTTCTCCTTTAATAGCTTGAATGAGTTGAGCTGTTGCCTAAAATTATGAATAAATATATCTTAAAATAAAGTAAAATCAACATTAAATAACATAAATTAATTTATTTAAAAAAAAAAATAATTACAAAATTAAAATTTAGATATCAATCATATAATAATAATAATAATAATAATAATAATAATAATAATAATAATAATGAGCCATAATCACAGATAAAACAGTTCATCATAATAGACCTGACATCATTCTCATTGACAAATGCAGTAAGATCACTTATATAATAGACATCTTTGTTCCAAACACTCATAACATAAAAAATGCCCACACTGGAAAAATCAACAAGTACACTACTTGCTCAAGAAATAAGACAGATGTGGAGGATGGAAAAGATATTTATTGTACCTACTGTTCTCTCTTCTACTGGTGTCATACCACATACACTACACAAAAGTCTAGAAACATTAAACCTTAATAAAAACATAAATATGGTACTACAGAAAGCTGCAATATTGAACACATGTCACATTGTTAGGAAGTTTCTAGATGTTGACACATATACCAATAACACAGTTTAATGTTACATTTGTTTGGGTAGCTATGCTTTTGCTTTAGTCTGGCATAGCATTGGCACCAGTATCAGCTGAGCATGAGATTCACAACATAATAATTATCTGATATTTCAATTAGTTTTAGCTTATTATGAGCACAGGAAAACAAAATTAAATATTAAATTATTAAACACAATATTATTTATAATAAATCAATTTACCTTTGCTAATATTTTTGCTTGACGAACCATTTCTGTTGGGTCACTTGTACTACTAAATAATTTATCAGTTGCATCCAAAATAGTATCTACAGCACCTTCATGGATAACTGTTTGGGCACGTTGTTGAGTAGCATTCCTAACATGATTTAGGAGATCATTTAAGGCTTGAGTTACTTGAGTAGCAGCTGTTCCTAATTCTTGTAATAACGCTTCATCTTTAATGGCATCCTGTAAATTTATTTGTTATTGTTATTATTCAAATGTAATTCATAATAATTACACACAAAAATAGTAACAACATTTATGTGTATTAAAAAATAAATTTTGAATTTAATTAGAGCTGAAATTATATAATAATGATGATGATAATGACGACAAATAGAATAAATTGGATAAAAACAGATGTTACAAAAAAAATCAAGTAAATTATTTATGGAACTAAAAGCTGTAAATTGTATCAAAGTTATATAAACATTGATATTGTTACTCCAAAATGATTAAAAAAAAAATATCCAAAACAATATAAATTTTATCTATGTATTATTCACAAAATATATCTACAAATATTTAAAATTAAAATAAGAATTATTAACTGTGTCTTTTATCATCTTTCAGACCTAAATTTTCATACAAATTGGGTTTTATTCATTTAACACGTAGCCTATGTTTTTAATACTAAAAAATTAACAGAAATTGATTTAATACAAATAAAATGGTAAAAGATTCACCATCTTAACAGGAAACATTTTATCCTTCTCTTCTAATACAATAATATTGTGGTTAAAAATAATAATTTGTAGAAATATGTCGAATATAGTTTTAACTGCTTAAATAGAATTGGATATATCTGATATTTTTAAACTAGATATTTGACATTTCAACTTTGAGTATTCATATTCAATATGTGAATATGAATAACAAAGGTGTAGATGTGAAACTGTTAATTAATCATCAATTTTTTAAATTTGTAAAAACTCAACTGTAAAATATATAAAGTAGAAAAATTCAATATGAATAATACAGTGGGTAATCAGTTAATGAACAAATCGGATAACAAACACTTTTGCGAAAGATTTTTATGATCGGACAATGAAGACATGATCAGATAACGAACACTTCACTGAACAAACATAAAAAGAAGTGACGGAAATAGCAAATACCGATTGATTTTCCTTTGTCTTCAGGTAACTTTTTGGAGTGCGGGAGATGTCAACATCGACGCTCAACCCAATATATACTGATCAGATAGTATTGCTCGAACTTTGAAATACTCCCTTATAATTCCAACCTTTTATTTTTCTGACAAACAATTCTTTTATAGTATTCGTGAGACTGTCGGGCGGGCACTCATTAAGTTTTTCATTGGTTTTTATTTTCGAAAGGTGAGAGTGTAATAGCAAAGATAGAGAGTGGGCAGTATGCTTGAACAAATCTACAGTAGGGCACAGTTCAATCTTATCTAAGAAAGATACTGTATAATTAAGAAACCTCGAGTAGCTAAAGGAGTAACAAATATCACATCTGAGAAATAAAGAACATTGAAGAGCTCATAATGGAACCTGAAACAGATCTGACGACAGAAGAACACCAAAAACTCTTGAATGAAGAACACCAAGAAACTCAGTGAGATATGTTTTATTATGAAAAAGAGGATTAATGCCGATATCTGCTATTAATTAAAGATCTTTTGAAGAAGTGGGGGATGTCAGATCAATGGTCTTAGAATGGCATACAAACCAGGTTGAGGTTAATAGGCTTGGGGATCTCCACAATTACAATGCTATTAATTCTGAAAATCCGGAAGAAGAGAGAAAAGCAATTGACATTAGACAGATTATTTAACCCCCACAAACAAAAAACCATAACTAATAAAAATGCATGTCTGTGTATATATGTATTTTTATTATTACATATAAATAAACATAGTAAGAAAGTATATATTTTTATTTTTTGGGGTCTCCAGAACAAATTAATCAAATTCCCATACAAACCTATGATAAATTGATAATTGGTTAATGAACAATTCGAATAGCAAACAAAGTCTTGGAATGGATTATGTTCATTAATCGATCACCCACTGTATATCTAAAATAGGTCTAAGATCATATTGAATGACTTTCTATAATTTGATTCTAATAACTTAATGTTACTATTTACAAATAAAACAGATTTTATGAATTATTATTCAGATTAAATTAAGCCTTTAAAGCAATCATAATCATGCTTAAGAGTAAAAAACTAAAAATGTATTTTTTGTATATAAGTTATTAAATTATATATAGTAACAATAAAATTCTGAAAATTTAATCAGATTTTTAACTTCTGAAGTCCTAATCCAATCATCAATCCAAAATACTTTACTATTCCCTATAAGTTATTGATATATACCAACAGATACTAATAATTTTATTAATTTTTATTTAAATACCTGACAAACTGTTACAATTCCTTCTACAGCTCGAGCCACTTCTTTTGTTGCTTCAATTAATTGCTGCTGACAATTTGGGTTCAAAATTGTTGGAGCAACAACCTGAAAATCAAAAGACAGTTGTAGTTTTTCTGTAAAAATATAGTAATTTATATTTTTATTAACTAGCAAATATATTAATATTACTTATATTTATAAGTAAAGATGGGATTAAATATGATTAAGTTAAGAAATCAATAATATCTGTTTAAATTCTGAGTTAATAGCATTTTATTTTGCATACATTCTTTTTTATATAAAAAAAATTTCTCTTTCATGTAAGAGTATTTAATTCAAATATAAATTAAGTATTTGTAAAAAGTAAGATTAAAGTTTTATTTTTGATTTTCTGAAAGTTTTATTATGACATCTTAAACTTAGAATTACAGGAAACATAATGTTTACTGCTATAAATGAATGAAAAATAAGATTTAATATCAACTAATAATTCAAATTTATGAAAAAAATCAAGATGTAATGTGAAAAGTATAGATAAAAGTCATTCCAAAGTAGTTAAACTAACAATTCAGTATTTTTAATATATTAAAAAAGTGAAAAATAAGATGTCAGTAATTATTTCAAGTGTAGAATATTCCTACTGATTACAATCATTTCCATGAATAATAGCATAAATTCAAAAATAAAACCAATCAGTAATAAGAAAAAACTCATTAAAAAACTACATTGCATCATTTATTTCTTAGTAAGTAATAATAAAAGCCAATAAAAAGTTTTATTTAATGTTTTTGTAATTTACAAATTATAATAATGTAAATAATTTATCAATCATAACAATATATAAATGTTACATTTAAGATTCATTACATTAAATTTTGCAATATATTTTAATAAACTTTATTTTCATTGGATAAAATATATATTTTTAACTGGATCTAAGCCATAATGAAAATTTATTGTTATTTTAGATAAACTTACTTTTTCAGTTAGTTATATAAATAAGCAAATAATAATGATATATATTTTATAACAGACTAGCTTACCTGTCGCGCATTGCTGTGATCTCAGAAAAAACGAAATTCGAGCAAACTTGTTATGATAAAATTAAATTTACATTTTATCATTTTTATTGAAACTTATTATTATTATTCATTTTCATCGAAAAAACATTTCAAAGTGTCGTTTCAATTCTATTTATTTATTGGAGTGCTTGTGAATACACGATATTTTTTGTTTTTCCGTCTGGTGTGTACATGAATAAATCAGAAGGTTTTTCGACGCATGAGCTGGCCACATAAAGTTGTACATGTGAGAAGCACAGATTCTTTAAATTTAGCCCACATACTCACAGAGATTGTTAGAAGTGTGATATTCCCCATTTTTATATATATTTTTTAATCCTTTATAATTTTGATTATTTAATTGCTCCTTCCTCTCTTCCTTGGCATGTTGTAAAATTTCTGATAGTTGGATAAACCATTTTATTGTAATTTGTCTTTTTAAATTATTTTGAGTTGATACTAAAATTTGGAAAAGGAGGGATCCCTAGATCGGTAAAATAGGCAAATTTCCTTCTACAACTTCTGTTGTTGTTCGGGATACAGTTAAGGTTTTAACAAAGTTCAAGCAAATACATAATTAGCAAAAAAAAGTTGAAATAAAGTGATTAAACAAAAATTATTACAAATATCGTAAATAACAGATGCATATATGGAGATATTTTTTGGAGGGGGGAAATGGTCTTCATAATTTGAAATCGATCAAACACACAGTAAAATGCTCGTATACACACACCATCTATTGTAGGATAAATGTACTATGCCAGAAACCTTCGTGGGAGTGTATTAAAAAACTTTCCAAAGTTTCATGGCAATCGTACTATGCCAGAAACCTTCACGGGCATATATTAAACAACTTCCCAAAGTTTCACGGCAATCGGATAAATGGTGTGGTAATTCATGAAGGACACACACACACACATTCGTGTTTATATATATAGATAATTATAACAACATAAAAATCATAATGAGAATGTTAAATTCATTAAAATTTTGCAAAATATTTCATAAAACAGTAGAGAACAGTTATTAACCAATAAAAGATTTCAAACATTCACTCTATAATTATAAATAAAATATGTTAATGATATAACAAAATATTAAAGAAAAAATTCAATATTACCTTAGCACAAGCCACTAATTGTGAAGTTGCAAGTGCACACTGTGTAGCTGAACTAATAACTTTATTTTGCACAGCTTGATCTTCACATTTACTAGCTACATTCTTTGATTTAAGAACTAATGTGGCAGTGGCATTAGCAACACCTTTAGCTAAACTAAGTAAGATATCCTGCCAAAGTAAGAATAATATAACATATGCTTTAGTATTATTATATTAAATAGTATATTTACAATTATATACAATCCAAAATACTTTACTATTCCCTATAAGTTATTGATATATACCAACAGATACTAATAATTTTATTAATTTTTATTTAAATACCTGACAAACTGTTACAATTCCTTCTACAGCTCGAGCCACTTCTTTTGTTGCTTCAATTAANTAAATAATATATAATTAAAATATATTTAGTAAGAAAAAATGCCAGCTAAAGTTTATAATAATTTCTGTGCATTTAAGTTGTAATAAAACTAACAATACATATATTAAAATGTATAAATTTGGAATTTTATAAAACAAGTCTTAGACTATATTTAATTATTATTATTAAAATAAAAACTATAAATAACAAATAGATGATGCTTACTTGAACTTCTTTATCCATTTCATCTTCTTCACCAATTGTGTATAATACAGCATGACTAGCTTCTCCAACTCGACTAGCAGCATTCAATAGTGTTTGACGAGGCTACAGAAAAATTTTTGTATTAAGTTTTGATATTATATGAAATTTTAGAAAAATATAATACAACTATTCTAAATATTTAATGTTGTAAAAATTACATTATACCTTCACATTTAGATATAAATATAAACAAATGAAAAATACACAAACTCAAAACAGCATTAGTTTAAAAATGATAACAAAATCACTTAATATGAAGAAAACTCTAAAATTTAAAATGGCACTGTTGTTTTATTATTAATTTTAAAATAAACAACAAAGTACTTGAAAAAAATTTAATAGAACATGCATCTTTATGATGCATGTTCTATTATACTAACATTAAAAAATTTTAGGTACAGTGACCGTCAATTAACAGGCATCATTGGGATCATGCTAGGTTATCAAATATTCTGCCTTATCAAACAGTGGATGTTTTTCCAGTTTTTTGATCCCCTGCATACAATTTTACTTATCTTCACATGTAAAACTGCACAAATTACTTTTTACGATTGATTCTTGAATTTACAATAATAAATTCAAGAAAAATGCCTTTTTGTAAATTTATAAAATTACAAATTATTTTTCTAAAACATAAATAATATATATATAACTTACTTCTTTACTTTCAGGTTCTGCTGCTTTCAGGAAATCAGAAAATGCTACACACAGATTTCGAGCAGCATCTAATATATTCTCTCCAGAAGTATCATCATCCATTAAAGCAGCAATCATTTTAACATCTTTTGACATTTCAGGTAGATTTGTTGCTCTAAAATGTATTTATTTGTAAATTATTAAATTATTTATATAAACCAATCATTCTTAAAACTTTCAAACTTACATTGTTGTAATAGCTGCTCCAACTGCTGGATGATTAACATCTTCTGGTGGAGCTAAGAAAAACATTATTAAAAATTATATTTTTCAAATTTTATATACAAATTATACTTTATAAAATTAATTAATATTGAGTTGTTTTAAGCTTATTACCTGAAGTCAATGTAATAACTTGGGCAGTTGCAGCATTCATAGCAGCTATTTGAGATGAAACATTCTGTTTTTTCACATCCATTGTATTTTGTTTCCATTGTATGGAGGCAGGATCAGTTCCTAACTCTGGAAGCTGTGCTTTTGTTTGCAGCTCCTTCTGTGCAGCATCAACTGCTTGTTTTCCTGCATCAATTGTATTTATTAATGCTCTTTGAGGTTCTGAAGTGGAAGAGTGGATTTTTGCTTGTTGTGGCTACGTAAATGAAATGTTTAAAATTTTAGTTTATATAAGTGTAATGCAAGAAAAGCAAATGATAATAAAATTTATTAGAAATCGTAAGTGCATACCAATTATCACAAAAATAATGCTTTTAATTAAAATTAATTTATATATATTTTTTCTTTCTTAAAGCCATGATTTTTCTTTTATAAGGAGCATTCAAAAGGTTCCTGTTTGTGGCATTATGTTTGCTCTATGTGTGTTCTATACATGGGAATTGTAGTGTAACATTAACTATAGAGTAGAATGACTGTTTTTCTCATAGGTAGTGGCAGTAACTGCTAACTTTTTTTTTTTTTGCTGTTACAGATTTTGAATCAGCTACCAAATCCATTCAATGAAACTGTAGTCCAATAATGGTGCAACAGATTCCAAATCCATCCAAAATAAACTGAAGGGTAGTGATACAGTTTCTGTCAGCTGAAAGTTTCAGCCTTGTAGAAATTCATCAACAGATGATCCAATTTACAGAAATGACTGTGTGTCTAAAACAATGGCCATGGACACAGACAGATTAATAATTTTCTTAATGCATTTCAAATAAGCAGTTTTGTCAACTTAAAGTTTTTTAAATTAAGTTCATATTGCACATAATTGTTTATTATATTTTTATTCATCTTCTGTATAAATATTTAAAAAATGTATCAAACAGAAATGAATATATTCACAGCAAAACCAGGTCAAATGTTTTAAAATGTTATAATTAAGATCAAAAATGGGTATAATCAGAGAAAGTTGATAATATATAGTTATTATAAAAATAATATATATTGTATCAATACATGTACAAGACATGCTAAAATACTAAGTTACTTCATTGTTAACATACAGAAAAAATATCTTAAAAGAAAAAAAGTTGAAAAGAAGAAAAAAAAACAGAAATTACATTCAATTTAAATAACAAACTAAAAAATGATTAGAACTGCCAAATCATGTTTGAATAGGAGATTAAAAAGGTTTGTTTTCAGTGATATGGACTCTGAAGATGGACAAAAAAGTCCTAAAGCACAGTCATTTTAGTGGTGATTTGTTTTTTTAGACTTCAACATAAGCAGAAAGGTAATGGAAGATTTGAGAAAAATTTTAAATTACAATGTTTTCTGTTATGATAAATTAGAACAAATTGTATGGGTACATGTTCAAAGTACATTCATATTTTCAAAAATCACAATAAAATCATAGTTAATGAATTGTCATTTTATTATGAAAATAAGTATTTTATAACTGAATACTTACAATAATGCTACTGTAAGCATTGTGAGCTTGACCTTTCACTGAACCATACTGAACACCTTCCATTTGTCCTGTACCATAATTCTGTACACCTAAAACAGATTTTATATTTATTATTATTATTGTTTTAAATTGATTTTAATATTTGTAAAAACACAATTTATGTATTAAATGTAATAAAAACTGTCATACAAATACGAAAATTTCAATTAAAAACTTTTTCATAAAAGTTAATTCTTCAGTTGAGCTTTCATTTTGGTGAAGATATGACCTCATTCCTGCAGACTCATATCTTTATCAAAATGAAAACTACAGAAATGTCTCAGAATCAATCACCAGAAGAGGTAAAAAGTACTGCAATGATGCAATGATTGTACTCAAGAAGGTAATAAAGAGTGGGTTATAAGAGTGAGGTTCCAGACCAAGTCCAAATCTATTGTTAAAAAAACTGAAAATATAAAAAAACNAAAATAATTACAAAATTAAAATTTAGATATCAATCATATAATAATAATAATAATAATAATAATAATAATAATGAGCCATAATCACAGATAAAACAGTTCATCATAATAGACCTGACATCATTCTCATTGACAAATGCAGTAAGATCACTTATATAATAGACATCTTTGTTCCAAACACTCATAACATAAAAAATGCCCACACTGGAAAAATCAACAAGTACACTACTTGCTCAAGAAATAAGACAGATGTGGAGGATGGAAAAGATATTTATTGTACCTACTGTTCTCTCTTCTACTGGTGTCATACCACATACACTACACAAAAGTCTAGAAACATTAAACCTTAATAAAAACATAAATATGGTACTACAGAAAGCTGCAATATTGAACACATGTCACATTGTTAGGAAGTTTCTAGATGTTGACACATATACCAATAACACAGTTTAATGTTACATTTGTTTGGGTAGCTATGCTTTTGCTTTAGTCTGGCATAGCATTGGCACCAGTATCAGCTGAGCATGAGATTCACAACATAATAATTATCTGATATTTCAATTAGTTTTAGCTTATTATGAGCACAGGAAAACAAAATTAAATATTAAATTATTAAACACAATATTATTTATAATAAATCAATTTACCTTTGCTAATATTTTTGCTTGACGAACCATTTCTGTTGGGTCACTTGTACTACTAAATAATTTATCAGTTGCATCCAAAATAGTATCTACAGCACCTTCATGGATAACTGTTTGGGCACGTTGTTGAGTAGCATTCCTAACATGATTTAGGAGATCATTTAAGGCTTGAGTTACTTGAGTAGCAGCTGTTCCTAATTCTTGTAATAACGCTTCATCTTTAATGGCATCCTGTAAATTTATTTGTTATTGTTATTATTCAAATGTAATTCATAATAATTACACACAAAAATAGTAACAACATTTATGTGTATTAAAAAATAAATTTTGAATTTAATTAGAGCTGAAATTATATAATAATGATGATGATAATGACGACAAATAGAATAAATTGGATAAAAACAGATGTTACAAAAAAAATCAAGTAAATTATTTATGGAACTAAAAGCTGTAAATTGTATCAAAGTTATATAAACATTGATATTGTTACTCCAAAATGATTAAAAAAAAAATATCCAAAACAATATAAATTTTATCTATGTATTATTCACAAAATATATCTACAAATATTTAAAATTAAAATAAGAATTATTAACTGTGTCTTTTATCATCTTTCAGACCTAAATTTTCATACAAATTGGGTTTTATTCATTTAACACGTAGCCTATGTTTTTAATACTAAAAAATTAACAGAAATTGATTTAATACAAATAAAATGGTAAAAGATTCACCATCTTAACAGGAAACATTTTATCCTTCTCTTCTAATACAATAATATTGTGGTTAAAAATAATAATTTGTAGAAATATGTCGAATATAGTTTTAACTGCTTAAATAGAATTGGATATATCTGATATTTTTAAACTAGATATTTGACATTTCAACTTTGAGTATTCATATTCAATATGTGAATATGAATAACAAAGGTGTAGATGTGAAACTGTTAATTAATCATCAATTTTTTAAATTTGTAAAAACTCAACTGTAAAATATATAAAGTAGAAAAATTCAATATGAATAATACAGTGGGTAATCAGTTAATGAACAAATCGGATAACAAACACTTTTGCGAAAGATTTTTATGATCGGACAATGAAGACATGATCAGATAACGAACACTTCACTGAACAAACATAAAAAGAAGTGACGGAAATAGCAAATACCGATTGATTTTCCTTTGTCTTCAGGTAACTTTTTGGAGTGCGGGAGATGTCAACATCGACGCTCAACCCAATATATACTGATCAGATAGTATTGCTCGAACTTTGAAATACTCCCTTATAATTCCAACCTTTTATTTTTCTGACAAACAATTCTTTTATAGTATTCGTGAGACTGTCGGGCGGGCACTCATTAAGTTTTTCATTGGTTTTTATTTTCGAAAGGTGAGAGTGTAATAGCAAAGATAGAGAGTGGGCAGTATGCTTGAACAAATCTACAGTAGGGCACAGTTCAATCTTATCTAAGAAAGATACTGTATAATTAAGAAACCTCGAGTAGCTAAAGGAGTAACAAATATCACATCTGAGAAATAAAGAACATTGAAGAGCTCATAATGGAACCTGAAACAGATCTGACGACAGAAGAACACCAAAAACTCTTGAATGAAGAACACCAAGAAACTCAGTGAGATATGTTTTATTATGAAAAAGAGGATTAATGCCGATATCTGCTATTAATTAAAGATCTTTTGAAGAAGTGGGGGATGTCAGATCAATGGTCTTAGAATGGCATACAAACCAGGTTGAGGTTAATAGGCTTGGGGATCTCCACAATTACAATGCTATTAATTCTGAAAATCCGGAAGAAGAGAGAAAAGCAATTGACATTAGACAGATTATTTAACCCCCACAAACAAAAAACCATAACTAATAAAAATGCATGTCTGTGTATATATGTATTTTTATTATTACATATAAATAAACATAGTAAGAAAGTATATATTTTTATTTTTTGGGGTCTCCAGAACAAATTAATCAAATTCCCATACAAACCTATGATAAATTGATAATTGGTTAATGAACAATTCGAATAGCAAACAAAGTCTTGGAATGGATTATGTTCATTAATCGATCACCCACTGTATATCTAAAATAGGTCTAAGATCATATTGAATGACTTTCTATAATTTGATTCTAATAACTTAATGTTACTATTTACAAATAAAACAGATTTAATGAATTATTATTCAGATTAAATTAAGCCTTTAAAGCAATCATAATCATGCTTAAGAGTAAAAACTAAAAATGTATTTTTTGTATATAAGTTATTAAATTATATATAGTAACAATAAAATTCTGAAAATTTAATCAGATTTTTAACTTCTGAAGTCCTAATCCAATCATCAATCCAAAATACTTTACTATTCCCTATAAGTTATTGATATATACCAACAGATACTAATAATTTTATTAATTTTTATTTAAATACCTGACAAACTGTTACAATTCCTTCTACAGCTCGAGCCACTTCTTTTGTTGCTTCAATTAATTGCTGCTGACAATTTGGGTTCAAAATTGTTGGAGCAACAACCTGAAAATCAAAAGACAGTTGTAGTTTTTCTGTAAAAATATAGTAATTTATATTTTTATTAACTAGCAAATATATTAATATTACTTATATTTATAAGTAAAGATGGGATTAAATATGATTAAGTTAAGAAATCAATAATATCTGTTTAAATTCTGAGTTAATAGCATTTTATTTTGCATACATTCTTTTTTATATAAAAAAAATTTCTCTTTCATGTAAGAGTATTTAATTCAAATATAAATTAAGTATTTGTAAAAAGTAAGATTAAAGTTTTATTTTTGATTTTCTGAAAGTTTTATTATGACATCTTAAACTTAGAATTACAGGAAACATAATGTTTACTGCTATAAATGAATGAAAAATAAGATTTAATATCAACTAATAATTCAAATTTATGAAAAAAATCAAGATGTAATGTGAAAAGTATAGATAAAAGTCATTCCAAAGTAGTTAAACTAACAATTCAGTATTTTTAATATATTAAAAAAGTGAAAAATAAGATGTCAGTAATTATTTCAAGTGTAGAATATTCCTACTGATTACAATCATTTCCATGAATAATAGCATAAATTCAAAAATAAAACCAATCAGTAATAAGAAAAAACTCATTAAAAAACTACATTGCATCATTTATTTCTTAGTAAGTAATAATAAAAGCCAATAAAAAGTTTTATTTAATGTTTTTGTAATTTACAAATTATAATAATGTAAATAATTTATCAATCATAACAATATATAAATGTTACATTTAAGATTCATTACATTAAATTTTGCAATATATTTTAATAAACTTTATTTTCATTGGATAAAATATATATTTTTAACTGGATCTAAGCCATAATGAAAATTTATTGTTATTTTAGATAAACTTACTTTTTCAGTTAGTTATATAAATAAGCAAATAATAATGATATATATTTTATAACAGACTAGCTTACCTGTCGCGCATTGCTGTGATCTCAGAAAAAACGAAATTCGAGCAAACTTGTTATGATAAAATTAAATTTACATTTTATCATTTTTATTGAAACTTATTATTATTATTCATTTTCATCGAAAAAACATTTCAAAGTGTCGTTTCAATTCTATTTATTTATTGGAGTGCTTGTGAATACACGATATTTTTTGTTTTTCCGTCTGGTGTGTACATGAATAAATCAGAAGGTTTTTCGACGCATGAGCTGGCCACATAAAGTTGTACATGTGAGAAGCACAGATTCTTTAAATTTAGCCCACATACTCACAGAGATTGTTAGAAGTGTGATATTCCCCATTTTTATATATATTTTTTAATCCTTTATAATTTTGATTATTTAATTGCTCCTTCCTCTCTTCCTTGGCATGTTGTAAAATTTCTGATAGTTGGATAAACCATTTTATTGTAATTTGTCTTTTTAAATTATTTTGAGTTGATACTAAAATTTGGAAAAGGAGGGATCCCTAGATCGGTAAAATAGGCAAATTTCCTTCTACAACTTCTGTTGTTGTTCGGGATACAGTTAAGGTTTTAACAAAGTTCAAGCAAATACATAATTAGCAAAAAAAAGTTGAAATAAAGTGATTAAACAAAAATTATTACAAATATCGTAAATAACAGATGCATATATGGAGATATTTTTTGGAGGGGGGAAATGGTCTTCATAATTTGAAATCGATCAAACACACAGTAAAATGCTCGTATACACACACCATCTATTGTAGGATAAATGTACTATGCCAGAAACCTTCGTGGGAGTGTATTAAAAAACTTTCCAAAGTTTCATGGCAATCGTACTATGCCAGAAACCTTCACGGGCATATATTAAACAACTTCCCAAAGTTTCACGGCAATCGGATAAATGGTGTGGTAATTCATGAAGGACACACACATTCGTGTTTATATATATAGATAATTATAACAACATAAAAATCATAATGAGAATGTTAAATTCATTAAAATTTTGCAAAATATTTCATAAAACAGTAGAGAACAGTTATTAACCAATAAAAGATTTCAAACATTCACTCTATAATTATAAATAAAATATGTTAATGATATAACAAAATATTAAAGAAAAAATTCAATATTACCTTAGCACAAGCCACTAATTGTGAAGTTGCAAGTGCACACTGTGTAGCTGAACTAATAACTTTATTTTGCACAGCTTGATCTTCACATTTACTAGCTACATTCTTTGATTTAAGAACTAATGTGGCAGTGGCATTAGCAACACCTTTAGCTAAACTAAGTAAGATATCCTGCCAAAGTAAGAATAATATAACATATGCTTTAGTATTATTATATTAAATAGTATATTTACAATTATATATTAATGATAATTCTATCATTTACAAATTTTCTTTAAAAACACATAAATTTGCTAAAAACTTTGATTAAAACAATTACTAAAACATTTACTTAATTAAATACAACTATATTATGTTTAATATACAAAATTTAGTATTAATATTCTCATGAGTATAGATCATCAAATAAATATAATTATTATATTAGAAAATTATACTATAGTAATAAATAATATATAATTAAAATATATTTAGTAAGAAAAAATGCCAGCTAAAGTTTATAATAATTTCTGTGCATTTAAGTTGTAATAAAACTAACAATACATATATTAAAATGTATAAATTTGGAATTTTATAAAACAAGTCTTAGACTATATTTAATTATTATTATTAAAATAAAAACTATAAATAACAAATAGATGATGCTTACTTGAACTTCTTTATCCATTTCATCTTCTTCACCAATTGTGTATAATACAGCATGACTAGCTTCTCCAACTCGACTAGCAGCATTCAATAGTGTTTGACGAGGCTACAGAAAAATTTTTGTATTAAGTTTTGATATTATATGAAATTTTAGAAAAATATAATACAACTATTCTAAATATTTAATGTTGTAAAAATTACATTATACCTTCACATTTAGATATAAATATAAACAAATGAAAAATACACAAACTCAAAACAGCATTAGTTTAAAAATGATAACAAAATCACTTAATATGAAGAAAACTCTAAAATTTAAAATGGCACTGTTGTTTTATTATTAATTTTAAAATAAACAACAAAGTACTTGAAAAAAATTTAATAGAACATGCATCTTTATGATGCATGTTCTATTATACTAACATTAAAAAATTTTAGGTACAGTGACCGTCAATTAACAGGCATCATTGGGATCATGCTAGGTTATCAAATATTCTGCCTTATCAAACAGTGGATGTTTTTCCAGTTTTTTGATCCCCTGCATACAATTTTACTTATCTTCACATGTAAAACTGCACAAATTACTTTTTACGATTGATTCTTGAATTTACAATAATAAATTCAAGAAAAATGCCTTTTTGTAAATTTATAAAATTACAAATTATTTTTCTAAAACATAAATAATATATATATAACTTACTTCTTTACTTTCAGGTTCTGCTGCTTTCAGGAAATCAGAAAATGCTACACACAGATTTCGAGCAGCATCTAATATATTCTCTCCAGAAGTATCATCATCCATTAAAGCAGCAATCATTTTAACATCTTTTGACATTTCAGGTAGATTTGTTGCTCTAAAATGTATTTATTTGTAAATTATTAAATTATTTATATAAACCAATCATTCTTAAAACTTTCAAACTTACATTGTTGTAATAGCTGCTCCAACTGCTGGATGATTAACATCTTCTGGTGGAGCTAAGAAAAACATTATTAAAAATTATATTTTTCAAATTTTATATACAAATTATACTTTATAAAATTAATTAATATTGAGTTGTTTTAAGCTTATTACCTGAAGTCAATGTAATAACTTGGGCAGTTGCAGCATTCATAGCAGCTATTTGAGATGAAACATTCTGTTTTTTCACATCCATTGTATTTTGTTTCCATTGTATGGAGGCAGGATCAGTTCCTAACTCTGGAAGCTGTGCTTTTGTTTGCAGCTCCTTCTGTGCAGCATCAACTGCTTGTTTTCCTGCATCAATTGTATTTATTAATGCTCTTTGAGGTTCTGAAGTGGAAGAGTGGATTTTTGCTTGTTGTGGCTACGTAAATGAAATGTTTAAAATTTTAGTTTATATAAGTGTAATGCAAGAAAAGCAAATGATAATAAAATTTATTAGAAATCGTAAGTGCATACCAATTATCACAAAAATAATGCTTTTAATTAAAATTAATTTATATATATTTTTTCTTTCTTAAAGCCATGATTTTTCTTTTATAAGGAGCATTCAAAAGGTTCCTGTTTGTGGCATTATGTTTGCTCTATGTGTGTTCTATACATGGGAATTGTAGTGTAACATTAACTATAGAGTAGAATGACTGTTTTTCTCATAGGTAGTGGCAGTAACTGCTAACTTTTTTTTTTTTTGCTGTTACAGATTTTGAATCAGCTACCAAATCCATTCAATGAAACTGTAGTCCAATAATGGTGCAACAGATTCCAAATCCATCCAAAATAAACTGAAGGGTAGTGATACAGTTTCTGTCAGCTGAAAGTTTCAGCCTTGTAGAAATTCATCAACAGATGATCCAATTTACAGAAATGACTGTGTGTCTAAAACAATGGCCATGGACACAGACAGATTAATAATTTTCTTAATGCATTTCAAANGTACAACTTATATATATATATATACATATTTTATTTCTAAAGTAAGTCAAAAAAGAAAATGAATTTTGAGCATGACTCTAACACATGTTATTATATGGATCAATGTTAGTTCAGAGAGTTTGAACTTTGACTCTGAGACTCATATAAAGATGATAGGCATTAATTAAATTGGGGAAACTGAGCAGTCTGACAAGAGAAAAACATTGTGTTTCGTAATAAAAATTCCAAAACATCAAAACAGGAACCATTGCTGTCTAAAATATGAGTGTAGGTTTCAAAGTTCCATCAACATCTCCTGATCAGAGTCAAAAGACAGTGTTGAGTTGAATACAAAGATCATCCTTTTTCATGACCCAATCCAATCTTATTTCTTCCTGAAAACAAGGAAGGAGACCAATTGGAGTATGGAATTCAGAGATAAAATCCTTTAAATACCCCAAATTTCAAGGACAAAGTGTGAATTTTCTTTTACACAACATCCCAAAGTGACCCATATACACTCTCTCTGTGTTTTGTGGCATTGTTCTCACCAAAGTTCTGTCATTCTTGTCTTTGCTCCATCGTTGTGCATCATGCACAACAGTGGAGCAAAGACAAGAATCATCTCTCCTCCACTGGACTCATCCATGATACTGCCTTAGGGTTGCTAAGGAAAAAGTGGAGAGCCATCCTAGACAAAAATATTTGGACATTTTCTCTCTTAAGATCATTATCCAAGAAGGAGCATCTCCCCAACTGCTTTGTGAGCTGCCAGTTTATAATTTTTTTAATAAATAGGTTTCTTTTGTAAAGTACCTTTGCAAAAGAAACCTATTATTAAAAAAATTATATGTCCAAATTACTACCCACGTACAGTCTTTTACCTCTCGTTCATCTTGACTTGAGTCTAACTGATTCCCCCTACCCTGGTTGGCAAATCTTACATAAGACTATTTTAATGTCATATAAATATTCACAGAAAAGTGAAGCTACAGAAAATACTTATTTTAAAGACTATCTTCTGGAGATAACTGTACTGTTAATGTAATAAAAGTAATATTAAAAGTTTATTTTTGACTCTACCATATATATCTACTATNTATATTTATAAGTAAAGATGGGATTAAATATGATTAAGTTAAGAAATCAATAATATCTGTTTAAATTCTGAGTTAATAGCATTTTATTTTGCATACATTCTTTTTTATATAAAAAAAATTTCTCTTTCATGTAAGAGTATTTAATTCAAATATAAATTAAGTATTTGTAAAAAGTAAGATTAAAGTTTTATTTTTGATTTTCTGAAAGTTTTATTATGACATCTTAAACTTAGAATTACAGGAAACATAATGTTTACTGCTATAAATGAATGAAAAATAAGATTTAATATCAACTAATAATTCAAATTTATGAAAAAAATCAAGATGTAATGTGAAAAGTATAGATAAAAGTCATTCCAAAGTAGTTAAACTAACAATTCAGTATTTTTAATATATTAAAAAAGTGAAAAATAAGATGTCAGTAATTATTTCAAGTGTAGAATATTCCTACTGATTACAATCATTTCCATGAATAATAGCATAAATTCAAAAATAAAACCAATCAGTAATAAGAAAAAACTCATTAAAAAACTACATTGCATCATTTATTTCTTAGTAAGTAATAATAAAAGCCAATAAAAAGTTTTATTTAATGTTTTTGTAATTTACAAATTATAATAATGTAAATAATTTATCAATCATAACAATATATAAATGTTACATTTAAGATTCATTACATTAAATTTTGCAATATATTTTAATAAACTTTATTTTCATTGGATAAAATATATATTTTTAACTGGATCTAAGCCATAATGAAAATTTATTGTTATTTTAGATAAACTTACTTTTTCAGTTAGTTATATAAATAAGCAAATAATAATGATATATATTTTATAACAGACTAGCTTACCTGTCGCGCATTGCTGTGATCTCAGAAAAAACGAAATTCGAGCAAACTTGTTATGATAAAATTAAATTTACATTTTATCATTTTTATTGAAACTTATTATTATTATTCATTTTCATCGAAAAAACATTTCAAAGTGTCGTTTCAATTCTATTTATTTATTGGAGTGCTTGTGAATACACGATATTTTTTGTTTTTCCGTCTGGTGTGTACATGAATAAATCAGAAGGTTTTTCGACGCATGAGCTGGCCACATAAAGTTGTACATGTGAGAAGCACAGATTCTTTAAATTTAGCCCACATACTCACAGAGATTGTTAGAAGTGTGATATTCCCCATTTTTATATATATTTTTTAATCCTTTATAATTTTGATTATTTAATTGCTCCTTCCTCTCTTCCTTGGCATGTTGTAAAATTTCTGATAGTTGGATAAACCATTTTATTGTAATTTGTCTTTTTAAATTATTTTGAGTTGATACTAAAATTTGGAAAAGGAGGGATCCCTAGATCGGTAAAATAGGCAAATTTCCTTCTACAACTTCTGTTGTTGTTCGGGATACAGTTAAGGTTTTAACAAAGTTCAAGCAAATACATAATTAGCAAAAAAAAGTTGAAATAAAGTGATTAAACAAAAATTATTACAAATATCGTAAATAACAGATGCATATATGGAGATATTTTTTGGAGGGGGGAAATGGTCTTCATAATTTGAAATCGATCAAACACACAGTAAAATGCTCGTATACACACACCATCTATTGTAGGATAAATGTACTATGCCAGAAACCTTCGTGGGAGTGTATTAAAAAACTTTCCAAAGTTTCATGGCAATCGTACTATGCCAGAAACCTTCACGGGCATATATTAAACAACTTCCCAAAGTTTCACGGCAATCGGATAAATGGTGTGGTAATTCATGAAGGACACACACATTCGTGTTTATATATATAGATAATTATAACAACATAAAAATCATAATGAGAATGTTAAATTCATTAAAATTTTGCAAAATATTTCATAAAACAGTAGAGAACAGTTATTAACCAATAAAAGATTTCAAACATTCACTCTATAATTATAAATAAAATATGTTAATGATATAACAAAATATTAAAGAAAAAATTCAATATTACCTTAGCACAAGCCACTAATTGTGAAGTTGCAAGTGCACACTGTGTAGCTGAACTAATAACTTTATTTTGCACAGCTTGATCTTCACATTTACTAGCTACATTCTTTGATTTAAGAACTAATGTGGCAGTGGCATTAGCAACACCTTTAGCTAAACTAAGTAAGATATCCTGCCAAAGTAAGAATAATATAACATATGCTTTAGTATTATTATATTAAATAGTATATTTACAATTATATATTAATGATAATTCTATCATTTACAAATTTTCTTTAAAAACACATAAATTTGCTAAAAACTTTGATTAAAACAATTACTAAAACATTTACTTAATTAAATACAACTATATTATGTTTAATATACAAAATTTAGTATTAATATTCTCATGAGTATAGATCATCAAATAAATATAATTATTATATTAGAAAATTATACTATAGTAATAAATAATATATAATTAAAATATATTTAGTAAGAAAAAATGCCAGCTAAAGTTTATAATAATTTCTGTGCATTTAAGTTGTAATAAAACTAACAATACATATATTAAAATGTATAAATTTGGAATTTTATAAAACAAGTCTTAGACTATATTTAATTATTATTATTAAAATAAAAACTATAAATAACAAATAGATGATGCTTACTTGAACTTCTTTATCCATTTCATCTTCTTCACCAATTGTGTATAATACAGCATGACTAGCTTCTCCAACTCGACTAGCAGCATTCAATAGTGTTTGACGAGGCTACAGAAAAATTTTTGTATTAAGTTTTGATATTATATGAAATTTTAGAAAAATATAATACAACTATTCTAAATATTTAATGTTGTAAAAATTACATTATACCTTCACATTTAGATATAAATATAAACAAATGAAAAATACACAAACTCAAAACAGCATTAGTTTAAAAATGATAACAAAATCACTTAATATGAAGAAAACTCTAAAATTTAAAATGGCACTGTTGTTTTATTATTAATTTTAAAATAAACAACAAAGTACTTGAAAAAAATTTAATAGAACATGCATCTTTATGATGCATGTTCTATTATACTAACATTAAAAAATTTTAGGTACAGTGACCGTCAATTAACAGGCATCATTGGGATCATGCTAGGTTATCAAATATTCTGCCTTATCAAACAGTGGATGTTTTTCCAGTTTTTTGATCCCCTGCATACAATTTTACTTATCTTCACATGTAAAACTGCACAAATTACTTTTTACGATTGATTCTTGAATTTACAATAATAAATTCAAGAAAAATGCCTTTTTGTAAATTTATAAAATTACAAATTATTTTTCTAAAACATAAATAATATATATATAACTTACTTCTTTACTTTCAGGTTCTGCTGCTTTCAGGAAATCAGAAAATGCTACACACAGATTTCGAGCAGCATCTAATATATTCTCTCCAGAAGTATCATCATCCATTAAAGCAGCAATCATTTTAACATCTTTTGACATTTCAGGTAGATTTGTTGCTCTAAAATGTATTTATTTGTAAATTATTAAATTATTTATATAAACCAATCATTCTTAAAACTTTCAAACTTACATTGTTGTAATAGCTGCTCCAACTGCTGGATGATTAACATCTTCTGGTGGAGCTAAGAAAAACATTATTAAAAATTATATTTTTCAAATTTTATATACAAATTATACTTTATAAAATTAATTAATATTGAGTTGTTTTAAGCTTATTACCTGAAGTCAATGTAATAACTTGGGCAGTTGCAGCATTCATAGCAGCTATTTGAGATGAAACATTCTGTTTTTTCACATCCATTGTATTTTGTTTCCATTGTATGGAGGCAGGATCAGTTCCTAACTCTGGAAGCTGTGCTTTTGTTTGCAGCTCCTTCTGTGCAGCATCAACTGCTTGTTTTCCTGCATCAATTGTATTTATTAATGCTCTTTGAGGTTCTGAAGTGGAAGAGTGGATTTTTGCTTGTTGTGGCTACGTAAATGAAATGTTTAAAATTTTAGTTTATATAAGTGTAATGCAAGAAAAGCAAATGATAATAAAATTTATTAGAAATCGTAAGTGCATACCAATTATCACAAAAATAATGCTTTTAATTAAAATTAATTTATATATATTTTTTCTTTCTTAAAGCCATGATTTTTCTTTTATAAGGAGCATTCAAAAGGTTCCTGTTTGTGGCATTATGTTTGCTCTATGTGTGTTCTATACATGGGAATTGTAGTGTAACATTAACTATAGAGTAGAATGACTGTTTTTCTCATAGGTAGTGGCAGTAACTGCTAACTTTTTTTTTTTTTGCTGTTACAGATTTTGAATCAGCTACCAAATCCATTCAATGAAACTGTAGTCCAATAATGGTGCAACAGATTCCAAATCCATCCAAAATAAACTGAAGGGTAGTGATACAGTTTCTGTCAGCTGAAAGTTTCAGCCTTGTAGAAATTCATCAACAGATGATCCAATTTACAGAAATGACTGTGTGTCTAAAACAATGGCCATGGACACAGACAGATTAATAATTTTCTTAATGCATTTCAAATAAGCAGTTTTGTCAACTTAAAGTTTTTTAAATTAAGTTCATATTGCACATAATTGTTTATTATATTTTTATTCATCTTCTGTATAAATATTTAAAAAATGTATCAAACAGAAATGAATATATTCACAGCAAAACCAGGTCAAATGTTTTAAAATGTTATAATTAAGATCAAAAATGGGTATAATCAGAGAAAGTTGATAATATATAGTTATTATAAAAATAATATATATTGTATCAATACATGTACAAGACATGCTAAAATACTAAGTTACTTCATTGTTAACATACAGAAAAAATATCTTAAAAGAAAAAAAGTTGAAAAGAAGAAAAAAAAACAGAAATTACATTCAATTTAAATAACAAACTAAAAAATGATTAGAACTGCCAAATCATGTTTGAATAGGAGATTAAAAAGGTTTGTTTTCAGTGATATGGACTCTGAAGATGGACAAAAAAGTCCTAAAGCACAGTCATTTTAGTGGTGATTTGTTTTTTTAGACTTCAACATAAGCAGAAAGGTAATGGAAGATTTGAGAAAAATTTTAAATTACAATGTTTTCTGTTATGATAAATTAGAACAAATTGTATGGGTACATGTTCAAAGTACATTCATATTTTCAAAAATCACAATAAAATCATAGTTAATGAATTGTCATTTTATTATGAAAATAAGTATTTTATAACTGAATACTTACAATAATGCTACTGTAAGCATTGTGAGCTTGACCTTTCACTGAACCATACTGAACACCTTCCATTTGTCCTGTACCATAATTCTGTACACCTAAAACAGATTTTATATTCATTATTATTATTATTGTTTTAAATTGATTTTAATATTTGTAAAAACACAATTTATGTATTAAATGTAATAAAAACTGTCATACAAATACGAAAATTTCAATTAAAAACTTTTTCATAAAAGTTAATTCTTCAGTTGAGCTTTCATTTTGGTGAAGATATGACCTCATTCCTGCAGACTCATATCTTTATCAAAATGAAAACTACAGAAATGTCTCAGAATCAATCACCAGAAGAGGTAAAAAGTACTGCAATGATGCAATGATTGTACTCAAGAAGGTAATAAAGAGTGGGTTATAAGAGTGAGGTTCCAGACCAAGTCCAAATCTATTGTTAAAAAAACTGAAAATATAAAAAAACTATATATATATATTATTTCATTTCAAGATTCATTTTCTTTTTTGACTTAATTTAGAAATAAAATAAAATATATATATCAATCATTTTAACATCTT